AAAAAAAAAAAAAAAAGAAATTGCTATGGGCTCTGGGCTTCCTAATACCTCCACATCAGCCCCTGGCAGGCACAAATCAATAGTGAGTAATCAACACTGCTATTCTCAAATTTGTTTTCCATGTCTGGTGTCTGGTTTTAGTCCTGAATTGTATGTGTGAGTGGCAAAGTTGGGGACGCTGATTAGTACTAGAGGATAGGCTCAGAGTTATTTGCAGTGGGTATTTCTGAAAAATGAAGAGAAAGAAGATGAGATATGCTTTGAGTGAAGGCTATTCGGGCCTGTGATGGATACGTGTTATATGTTCTGCCCAGCATCCACCATTGATCCTGTTTTTCTTTTTTTTTTTTTCATTGTTCCTGTTTTTGATAATAAAACCCCAGTGTCCCTGTAGGGAATTCCTCATCAACATTGTATAAGTCAGTCTGGGTGCTCACCCTCTGCTGGCTGATGGGAAGACAGCGACTGAAGCTAGAGAGTAATCCCATACCCTCTTATTGGAATTTGAACCCAGAATGTTGTAGAATTTCTTCTGCAGTGTTGCCCTAAAAAAGTTGCCCAGTGGTTCAATTTGCAAGGCTGATCTGCTTTCTGCCCTTTCTGAGACTGTCCTCTAATTGTTCTCCAATTTTGTGAGATTCCTCATATCCTTCTTGTAATGTCATTCTAGGTTTAAATTAGCCAGATTAATTTTTACTCTAGCAACCAAACACAGTCTTAGGAGTATGAGGCTAATGTAGTGAACAGAGACTGTGACTTCCTATCAGAGTTTTGTAGAGTCAGGAACAGGGCAGAATAATGCCTCTATTTTCCATCATCTTTTGCAAGTAGGGATGTCCATGTGACTAGGTTGTGGCCAGTGGGATGTAAGTAAAAGACTATATGCTTCCCAAAGAGGAGAGGGTATACCCCTCTTCATGCCTCCCTTCCTTGTGCTGGCTGGAATGGAGATGTGAAGGCTGGTGCATAAGCATCCATCTTGAATCATGGAGTGGAAGCCACACTCAAGAGAAGGAACAAGATAAAAGAAACCATAGCTCCTGATGAACACAAAGGTGCCACCAATGCCATGCTGACTGCCTTTAGGTTTCCTTGACGTGAAACAATAACAAATTTCTATTTCACTGAAACCACTGGTATTTAGGAGTTTTCTGACACAAGCCTCAGTATCTTAACTGTGTGAATGCTTCTCACAGGATGGTCCATATGTCACTTTCATCAGATTCTCGGTTGGGACCTTAACTGCCCTAAATTATTAAGAACCAAGGCACCTGTAATCCTAGCACTCTGGAAGGCTGAGACAGGTGGACTGCCGGAGATCACAAGTTCAAGACTAGCCTGAGCCAAAGCAAGACCCGTCTCTAAAAGTAGCCAGGCATTGTGGCAGGCACCTGTAGTCTGGAGGCTGAGGCAAGAGAATAACTTGAACACAAGAGCTAAAGGTTGCTGAGAGCTATAACGCCAAGGCACTCTACCTAGGGCAACAAAGTGGGACTCTGTCTCAAAAAAAGAAAAAAAGAACCAAGGCAAAATGAACCACAGGCTGAGTGAACAGTGGATGCTGTGTGGGGTGTTGTTTGATAAGGACCAAAAGAGCCTCCTGGGGTCAGCAAATTCTCTATGACTTGATCTGAGTGGGGTTTATGCATAAGCAAAAATTCACGGAGCTGTGATCTGACAATCTGTCCACTTTACTGTATGCCCATGAAAAACTACTGATGATGATAGTGACGATAACCAGCATTTTCCTGAGTGATTCATGGGTACCAGGCATCAAACACCCTGTATTAACCCACTCAAGTCTGACAATAATCCTCTAAGTAAGGAACTTGAGTACACCCCCTTCTCCAGATGAGGAATCTGGGCACAGGGAGGTGAATTGACTGTCCCCTGAATCTGCACAGCCTGCCAGTGTGGGGCTGGAATGCCAAGGCATGGGAAAGAAGAGCTGGCCAGCCATAGCAATACTCACGGAGTCCTTGAGTGCCAGGAAACAGTGGCAGATCCAGCGGCGGGTGGTCCCATCACGACAGATGTAGGAGAAAGCTTTGTCCAGGTTGCGGTCAGGAGCACAAAAGGAGACCTTTTCGATGGTTTGATCTACTAGCAGATCCTAGGAGGGGACAGGGATGCCAGGAGAGGAGGATGAACTGTCTTTCAAGTATTCATTCAGCATTCCCTTAATATCTGTTGAATGGGGTGGAGACCCAAGAGTCAATGAGACAGCCACGGTCCCTGTCTGCATAGGGCTTCCAGTTCAGTAGGGGAAGTCAGACCCATCATGAGATGGAGACCATCCAGGGTCACAGCCAGGCTGTGACGAGGGAGGCATGGACAAAAGAGTCAGGGCTGGGTGAGGGAACACAGGAAGAGAGGTCAGGGCCAGGATGGAGAAAGCCAACTTGGGGACAGTCAAGCAGAGCTTCCTGAAGGAGGAATTAACTAGGCAGAAAGGCAGGGAACAGTATCTCAGGTTGAGAGAACTGCCTGCAAATATGGTGATCCTGTTCTGTCATTAACCCAGCTCTCAGCATGTCCTGGCATCTCCTGGGACAGTCTGAAGGCAGGGCAATCAATGGTGAGCAAACAGAAATCTAGATCCTGGCCTCATGGTGCTTTCATCTGGCTGTGCAGACTGACAATAAACATATAACAGCTAACCTTCCATGATCTGAGTGCTTACAATGTCCCAGGTACCATCTCAAACAATTTGCATATACTTTCTCATTTAATAGCAGGGTCTATTATTATCCCCATATTTTAGATGACATAACAAGGCCCAGATCTTGTGCCCAGGATCCCCAAGCTGGGATCAGAGCTGAGGCAGCTGCTGCAGTCTGTGTCCTCACCCACTATCCATACGCATGTACCAGCTCACAAATAACCACAGTATTCAGTCTCAAATTATGACTATGAAGTGAGCACATGGCATAGTCTATTTTAAGGTCCTTGAGGGAGGGATATCCCAGAGGAGGTGGGAAGGCATCCTTGGTCCCAATTTGAGCAGGGTGAAGAAAAAGGCCCGCTGGTAACTACCCCTACCCCCACCAGCCTCCTACCTTGGTCTTATCATCCACCACTCGAAGCCCATCAGCTGATACCCACAGGACAGACTTCACAGACTTTCGGCCCATCTAGGGTTAAGGAGGAGGACAGAGGGACCTGGTCAGGTCAGGGCTGACTTGTCCTGTCTGACCTTGGCCCCTCCCTCACTCCTGCCCCTCACTCACCGCCTTCAGCTTCTTCACAGCATCTTCACACACATGCATCCCCCGGGACTCCTCCACCTCCACATGGCCTAGGTACTTGGGTGAGGGGACAGGGGGACATGAAATAGCATGGCAGTCAGTAATTCCCAGTGTCTACTGAGCATTTGCCATGCATCGGACAATATTCTCAGCACATGATACGTATTCACGTATTCTGCACCTCAACTCTACAAGGTGGCTATCTCATTCCTAGCTCAGATGAGAAAACTGAAGCATGGCATATCACAGCAATTTTTTTGGGGCTATACGTCTGGGTCTAACACCGTACTGTGCTCCTTATGAATACCAATATTTGCATCTCTGTGCCTGACGACTGGCTCACTGTTAAGCAGATAGTAAGAATGTGAGCCAGGGTCCTGCAATGCCTGAGAGGAGGGAGGGTACTCCAGCCCCAGCTCTCTCACCTGTATAGGTGGGATATTTCCAGAGTTCCCCAGAGGGAGCACAGCAGCTCACAGCAGCAATTTAATAACATACCCTTTGTTGGCTGCCTTCCGTCCCTCTCTCCCACTAGCACTTACTGCACCTCCCCAGTGAGCCCCTCACACTCTGGGTCTACTTCTGGAAGAAGGGAAAATAAGGTGGAGGGGCTATGATCATGGTTGGCCTTCGCACAGCCAGAAGAGCTGAGCTCCACTGTCTATGCCTGAATCCTGCTATCTCTCTCACAGAAGCGTAGCGTATGTTGTAAAGGGTAGCATTCTAAACCAGAAACCCCAGAACAGAGAAGCGCTTTGCAAACGTTACCTTCCCATAGAGGTTTCACCACTGGATATTATTAGCTCCTATAGAACAGGGTGACCCCTGACATGACATCCCAGAGGTAAGTTTTCCTGCTACAAGAGAATACTCTTGGTTTTTAATATTAACTTTGAGGACTTGGTGTCCTTGCCTGGGCAGGCTCCACTGTTCTTTGAGAGGTAAGTCTCTTGTCATACTGCAGGTCCCTTAGCAAGTTTGCCCAGCCAAGCTCACAACACACTGGCCCTGCCCACTGCCGCACACCCCGCCCACTCACCCTGACCGGGAAGCTGCAGGTGCCCTTGCGCACCGCGTCCTCATCCGCCTGCCACTGGTGTGGGCGCGATGCCTCTGGTACATAGGCTGGCTTCCTCCTCCGCAGGCTCTGTCGTAACTTGTTCATGGTGCCCGCCCCGTCTGGTGAGGCAGGACAAGGGTATGGGTCAAGAGTGGAGGTCAGAAGAAGATATGGGGATCAACGGGGAGCACAGAGTCACATAAGCATGTTCAGCGAACATAAGGTCAGATAACATCATAGTGGGGTCACTGGGTCAGAGAACATAGGAACAAAAGCTTAAGTCAGGGGACATTAAGAAAAGAGACAATGCATGGCAGGGGAGTGTGAGAGTAGGGCAGTGAGGATTCAGAAACGGGGTGGGCGGAGGGCTGGGGGGCATGGAGGTCTGAGGTGGCAAGCTACGGATCACAGCTTTAGGAGGCTGGGGTTGTGATGGACAAGAGACATGTGGATCCAAAGGAGGGGAAGTGAGGTATAGAAGGACATGGGGTTAGAGGGCATAGGGGTTGGGGTCTTAGCGGTATGAGAGTCAGGCAGCAGGGTGATCAGAGGATACAAGAGTTGGCAACTGGATAGGTCAGGGTGCAGGCACCAAGCATGGGGGTGTGAGTGTGAGGGATGTTGACTTAGCTCTGGAACTCTGAGACACAGCTGCTCTGTGACAACTGTGTCTAGTCAGAGGCAAGGCTCATATGCCTCTGCACAGTGATGCATCTGTGAGAGTGTGCAAGAACATGAGGGTGTTGTCTTTGGGCATATGTTTGTAAGTGTTACCTGGGAGGGTCACTGTTGTCTATGAGAGTGCCAACTATTCTTTGTGAGACTGTAAAACTGTAGCTTTGTGAATTCCTCGGTCCCTGTGTGCTATCTGTGAGGCTGTCTCTGTGGAAGTGCAGCTACTGCCTGTAAAAGTGTGGGTCTGTCTGCGCTCTCTGGTAGACTGTGTGCAAGAGTGTATCTTTGAGTGTGTGTATCTGAGAGTCTGTACCTGGCAAGTGCCTGTGGTTGGCTGAGTGAGAGTCTGGGTGTGGTCTGGGAACATGCCTCTCTTGGTGTGTAAAGCTCCGTCCCTGTAAACAGAGAGGTGCTTGTACATGTGCGTGGGAATGGACACCCACTGAAGCACATCTTCAAGGGTATCTGTTGCTGTGTGGATTGGAAAGAGATCATCTAACTGTGTCTGCAGATGTGTAACAGTATGTACAACCCTGCATCTGTGAGTGTGAGGCTGTCAGGGGGTATAATTGTCTGTGAATGAGCAGGGCTGACTGTCACTGAGGTTGCAGGGAAGATGTTTGAGGGTATCCACTCATAGATGAGATTAAGCTTGAGTAACCATTGGTACAGTTCCTCTGGTCATGTTAGGCACAACCATCCACTCACTCAGTACCTGCCTGTCTCAAGCTGGTTACTACTAACCTGGCTCCGTCCTGGAGGTTTCAAGGGGCCCCGGGGCCCCACAAGGGGCTGGGGGCAGACGTTGCTCAGGCCTCCTGGGTCCGCCCTGCCCAAGGGAGGGAGAAGTTAAGAAGTTTGTTTGGTGTGGGGCTCGGTCTCCTAATTCAACCCACCTTTGGACTTCATCTGGCCCCCTCCATCCAGGCTCCTTGACACAAGCCCTAGTTGCCATGGCAACTGTTACCCAACAGTTCAGCCACCTGGTTCCCAGGGCCCAGGAACAAGTAGGTGTGTTTGGGAGCTAATCTGTTTGGGATGGGCTAGACTTAAGAGACCCTCCATCTCTCAAGGAGGATGGTGTGAGGAGAGTGGCCTTGCCCTGTAGACATGTGTCCAGGGCTGTACCCAAACATACCATCACATGGATGCAGCCAGTTCATGTCTACAGAAAACCTGGTCTGCACTTGTCCCTAGAACCTGGTTACAGCTCTGCACACTTGGTTACACACAGACACAATCACAGATACACCTCAGATCACATAAACTGTCACAGCCACAGAAAGCTACCACTATAAACATCTAGCCACATGTTCATGGTCACAGACACATACTCTCTACTACAGACATTTGTCTACATACTTGTAAGAGTGTCCCAGCCTGCTGAGGCCTCACCACAGACACTTGGTCACACCAGCTACTAATATTTGGTCACTTCCCTTTTTTTTTTTTCTTTTGCAGTTTTTGGCTGGGGCCGGGTTTGAACCCACCACTTCCAGTATATGGGGCCAGTGCCCTACTCCTTTGAGCCACAGGCGCCGCCCCACTTCCCTTTTCTTAGCCACATACAAAGAAGGGGGCTCAGGAACACACACTAGAATAACACATGTATGACCACACCCCATGACAATTACGTTTCCTCAGGCACCCACCCAAGATACCCACGTCACAAACCCACCCAGACAGAACTGCACTGACATATTCATAGCTACACCTACTTGTCACACATACCTCCACTGTTACTTACACACTAATATCTGGTACTGAATGACACAGGCAGACTGACATGTTTGATCTCACGCCAACATAGCTTTTTTTTTTAGATAAGGGTCTCACTGTTGCCCCAGGCTAGAATGCTGTAATGTCCTAGCTCACAGCAACCTCAAATTCTTGGGCTCAAGCAATCCTCCTGCCTCAGCATCCTGAGTAGCTAGGACTACAGGTGCCTATATATTTTTAGTAAAGACGGGATTTCACTCTCTCCCAGGCTGGTCTCAAACTCCTGAGCTCAAGCAGTTCTTCAGTGACAGTCACACCCATATGGATAGTCTATAGTCCTTCATTGAGCCACTGACAGCCACCACCCAGAAACTACTATTCCTCAGGATACTATCTTCAGACACAGTCAGACACATTCCAGAAGTGGTCCTACATGCACACAACACCCGTGTCCACATTACTCAGCTATCTTTCATGGTCATAATATCACTAGTGTCCCATGCACAGCCATACCATGCTACACCATCACAGAGAAACATATGATCTTTCTTCATGCGGATACAAAAGTCACATAGATAGGTATGTGGCCACATATAATCGCAGCCTTGTTTGGACAGGTGTGCAAAGTCACAGCCCCACCTACACACATATCTCACACCCGAGACATAAGCACAGTTTTAATTTCCCACATCACAAGTACACAGCAGGGAGTATGCACAAGAATGCTTAACCCCGGCTCGGCGCCTATAGGTCAACCGGCTAAGGCGCCAGCCACGTACACCTAAGGTGGCGGGTTCGAATCCCCAGCCCGGACCCGCCAAACAACAATGATGGCTGCAACCAAAAAATAGCCGGGCGTTGTGGCAGGGGCCAGTGGTCCCAGCTACTTGGGAGGCGGAGGCAGGAGACTCGCTTGAGCCCAGGAGTTGGAGGTTACTGTGAGCTGTAATGCCACGGCACTCTATCCAGGGGGACAGCTTGAGGCTCTGTCTCAAAAAAAAAAGACATGGCATTTAGAGCTGGTTTATACAGAAGATCTGGTCCCTGACAAAGCCTTCAGAGACTTTATCAAATTCAAACCCAGGTCATCAGCCAGTGTCCAGTGACCTCATCACCAAATCACACAAATTCAAACCCAGGTCATCCAGCACATATGCACCCATATATACACCCAGAAAAAACAACCACACAGCTATAGACACCCACACTTTCACAGACTGTGACACAGATGTAAGCACATGTAGTCACCTGGGGTCATAGACATGCAGGTCACACACAGGAATATAGAAGTATAGAAGCCATAGTTACACATACCCACAAACACACGCACTTACCTGGCACCAGCACACACAGATACATCCATAGATTGGGTCACACACAATTAAATAGCCCCTTATAAAAGTCAGCCAGACTAAGACACCAAGTCAAATTCACAACCCAAATCATACATACAAGACTATAAACACACAAATCTCTCAGTATTATACACACAGCTAGATATAAAGTCATCTACACAACCTAGTCACACACAGAGACATAGTTATAGATATACAACCCCTGTCATACACAATACCATCACACAACTCTAGTCATAGACACAACATAACTTCAGACACAGTGGAAGTCACACACCCAGAGCTGCATAGATACTTGCGTGTCACTTGTGTATATAAAATCAGTTATAGATATAACAACATTCTCAGTCATTGGACGAGTCACACGCAGACGCAGACATGGAATCACAGACACAATTCCACTTACACACACAGTCACAACTCCACCCACATCCTGTCAGTCAAACACATGCCCAACCCCAGACTCAACACATATACTGTCACATATCCAGTTATAGTTACCAAGCCACACAAACACAGGTCACAAAAGACAAACACAGACACAACCCTGTAGTCCCAACCATGCACACACTCAAACAGACTAAAAAGTACACGGTTCTGGATGGTGAGCAGCTATCATATACACACACACAGTCACACAAATACTGGGGTCACACACAGACACAATTACAGACACTACCACATACAACCACAAGCACGCACAGACACATGACACAGGATTTCTTACAGTCACCAGCTGCAGCCCATGCACACATGAACACAGCCACAGTCACACAAACACAGGGTCACAATCCTAGCCACCTCCCCATTGCTTACTTCCCCCCTTCCCCCAGGTACCACACACAAAGCCTCCCGCACCGCCCGGATGCTGCAGACAGACAAGGCTGCACCCGGTCCCTGGGGAGCCGCCCCCAGCCCAGCCTAAATCCTAGAGCTTGGGGGGCCAAGGCCAGGAGGGGGAGGTGGCGCATTGTCTACGGGTGGGGCCTCTCTCTCGACAGCTGAGCAGCCCTGGGGACAAAGGGGGTGGCCTAGGGGACCTGTGCCTTGGGACCCTTGACAAATTCTGAGGTGGGGGGATTGGAGGCTGCCTGAAATTCTTATTTCATTCAGGCTGGGGTGGGATAGCGTCCCACGCTCTAGAACCTTGTTTTGAGAAGGGGCTGTACCTGGGACGCCGCCCAAGGTTTGGGGGGAATGCTGTGCCCAGAATGCTTCTGAGGGTTGGGGACAGATTGTGCCTTGGCTTGGTGGGAAAGCAGTTACCTAGGGACCCCATCCCCGAGACCTTGCCTAGGGAGGTGTTGGGCTCAGAGATCCCCTCAGGCAGGGAGAAGTAGGGATTTGGTCTGGAATTGCCTCCTGGAGGCCTTGGTTTAATATGAGGAGGCTCATCCCCAAAACCTTGCCTAGGGAGTTGTACCTAGAATCTCTGCAGCCCTGTCCTTGATTTGGGGGGAGCTGTATGTCCAGAATTCTTATTTCCAGGGCCTTGGCAAGCGATAGCCTAAAAGTCTGTACCCGAGACCCCCGTCTCCCGGGCTTTGGCTTGGTAGAGGCCTGTTCCTGGACCCCCACCCAGGACCACTCTCTTCAGCCTTGCCACTCTCTGCATCCGGGCGCCGCCACAGCCTCCCACCCTCCGCCACATCAGCAACGGCGCCGCCCCCGACCCGAGCCCCCCTCTCCCGCCCTTCTCACGCTGGCCGCCGCGCTGCGAGACATCCAGGGCCCGGGCACCCCCGCCTCCCGCGGCCCCTGGTGGACCCGGCTCCCCGAGTGCTGCTGCTGCTGCTGCTGTGGCGGCGGCGGCAGCTCGGTCTGACGCGGGCCCGGGCCCGGGGCCGGGGAACGGTGCGGGATGCACGCGCGAGCCTGCTCGACTCCCGGGAGGATTCCGTTCCGGGGGCGGGGGATCGTCCCTCCTGCCTCAGCTCCCCGCCCCAGCCCCGCCCATTGGCCCGCGGCCTGCTATATATGCAAAAAAACCCCGCCCCGGCCCCGCGCCTAGCCGGCTCCAGCCCCGCCCCTTGGCCCTCAGGCCACGCCCCCATACAAATACAACCCCGCCTTCTCCAGTGCGGCCACCGCCCCGCCACGCCCATTGGCCAGTCCCTGTTAGAGCAGGCATAGGATCCTAGCTGAGTCCTTTCCTCAGATCTATCCAGAGGTGGGCTCCCTTCCCTTCCGTGACCCCAGACCTCAGATCCCCTCCATTTCCGCATCCGAAAGAGTTGCTTTTGGAGGCGCCTTGCCGCCCCACATCCCCAAATCTTCCGGACAGCCCCACAGTTCTCCCAGCCTGGCGGGGGCGGGCAGAAGCAGTGACGAGGCACTTTTTGCAAGGAAGAGGAGGGGGAAATGAACAGACCCCGACATCCTGGTGCCGGATCCGTTCGGCTTTGGGGGCGGGGGCCCCAGACTTGGACCAGGGAGCGGTCATGGCCGCTCTGCACCCCCGCTCCTCCCCCAGTCCTGTGGTTTTGGCAAAGCAGCTGGCAGGGGCATTAGGGCCCATTAGTAAAGGCTAGGTTGCCGGGAGCAAGGGGAGGGAGACTGAAGCGGGGAAGCCTGGACGACGAGAGGCGTGGAGGAGGGGGGAGGCCTTCTCAGCTGCTACAGCCTTTCGAGCAGGTGGTCAGCACGGGGGCGGGGGGACGCGGGGAGGGGAAAAGGAGGTTCCTGGCAACAGATGGTCCAGGCAGGGCTGGGGCTTTCAAACAGGAGGGAGGGGCTGGCCATCTGCACTTGGAGGCCGCTGGGGAGCTCCTCCCCGCAACCCCTAGCAGAGAAAAGAGCTAGGGAAAGGGGAGGGCCGATTTTATTCCAACTGAAGGTTCAACCCCGCCTCCCACCTCACCTCCCTACACACACACACAAACACACATACAGGCTGGAGCCCAGGAGAACGCAGCTGGTAGAGGAGTGAAGGAGGCAAAGGGGAGAGCTGCACGCACTGGCCACCATCTCTCCACCATCTCTTCTCTTTCGGAGACCAGGAGACAGAGGTGAGGGGCTACCCCTCTCGAGTCCGGTTTTCCATAACGGCATGCAGGAGGGCTGAGGGCTCCTGAACATGATGGCAGAAATAAGTTGTTTCCCTGGTTTAGAATTCCTGGTTGTCCACTCTGGAGTGGGGAGGAGCAGGATACACAGTCCGTGAAATTGGAAGGTCCTCAGCCCCAGGCTTCCTGAGCTCCTGGGCCAAAGAGGAGAAGTAGGCAAAGCTGGGAAACCGAAGGGGCCTCCTGGGATCCAGAGCACAGGGGCCAGGGATAGGCGATACTACAGCAGGGGGTGGCCCACTCTGGGCTGGGATCTCCCATGAAGGCAGTCAGAAGGGACTTGCCCCAAGGTCCTCTCTGGCCAGGAGGCTGCTGGTCAATGGCTATGTCTGGCGACTGGCCCAGTAGCGGTGGTAGGTGTCCTGGAAGAGGTCCCTGCAGGCAATGTGGGCATGGAGGCGGGCACAGGCCAGGAAAGCCCCTGCCAGCTTGCGGTGCAGAGCATAGGTCTCCTCAGGTGGGGGGCGCAGCCGGTGCTGCAGCAGCACGGGGATAAGGCCCTGTATGCGACGAGCAGTGTCCCCTGCCCCAAAGTCATAGGGGCCCTGGGTGGCAAAAGGTTCTCCCAAGATCATTACTGCCTCCACATGGGCATCGGAGAAGGCCTAGGGGTAGGGACAGCAGATGCACCAGTAAGGACATAGAGCCCTCAGCTCCCTCAAGTCTCAAGTACAAACACAAGCCTCTGACTCCCTCAAGAATAAGTAGATCTCCACTCCTTCCTGAACCTCTAGTAACATGTAGCTCCCTATTTCTCCCCACATAAACAGCCCCTCACTTCCTCTCAGACCCATCTACAGATAAGCAGCCCTCTACTGTCTACAGATAAACAGCTGCCCCTTTCTGACCACCCCCAGGACCCACAAGCAGCCACCAGACCGCTAGAACACACACAAGTGGTGCCCATTTCCCCAGGACTTCTGAATAGTCAAGCAGTGCATCACCCCCACTGCTCCCTGGAGCCCCCATTATAGCCAGAGTTTCCTACTTCCCCAATTTGGACATATAGCCTCCACTCTCTCCAGTAGAAACAAGCTGTATCCCCTATGCTCCCCCAGAGTCCCTCAGTAGAGATGACAGCTCCCCACTCTCCCAGCTTCTCCAACATCTCCCGACCTTGGTTTCAAAGCCTGTGAGGAATTTGAGGTCTCGGGATTTTTGCAGGACCCGGTCTCTGTCTCCCTCGGCTGCAGCCTTCACCACCTGGGGAAATGGGTGTGGGTCAGAAGGACAGAGGCTGAAAGGTCAACAAGTAGGGTTCAGGGGGGCTTCTGGAGAAAAGGAGTTACATACCCCCATACCCTGGGCCCTCCCTCTCATGTGGAAGCTGCTCCTTCCTCATTCTGTCCTGTCTGTGACTCCCTCAAAACTGTTCTAGAGTCTAGGGTGTGGAGGTGGTCAGGGGTTCTGTCCTCTAGGCTAGAGATGCAAGGCCTGCTGAAAACTGTCCCTGGGGCTTGGCGCCTGTGGCTCAACTGGCTAAGGCGCCAGCCACATACACCTGAGCTGGCGGGTTCGAATCCAGCCCAGACCCGCAAACAATATAGCTCAACCGGCTAAGGTGCCAGCCACATACA